ATCATTATGTTTCCAATTGTCAGATGGAAGATATTGTTACAGAGCAATGGATCCAAATTCGGCAAACTGAGCATGCCCTTCAAACTGTGCAAGTATATATGGTCTTGTGAACAATCTACTAGATTTACCTGTCTGTAGACTTGTAAGTTATATCATGACCTCTTTGTTTAATTTTATGCATTATGCATGTTTTTTTTCCCTTAGATGATGACTTTAAAAGCTCGGAGGAAAATAGACACTGCAGAAAGGATAGTATTGAAGGTAAGAAACAACTTCTAGGTTCCTGTTTGCAATTTTGTATGGATATGTTAGTTCATTAAACTTTGGTTGTCTACATGGCTGTAGAAAACCTTCAATCTATTAAAAAAAAAAAGATTATAGAAAACCTTGATAACATTGCATAGTTGACTGTTTCTCCTATTGTCTAGCACTTATAAGAAAATGAAAATGTTAAGTAAACAACAGAATACCAGTTGCAACAGAAGATTTTTTTTATTCTTGGGTCATGCTTGGTTGGGCCCATAAGTCTTTCATAAAGTAAGCAAAATTTCTAAGCTTTCCCTAAGTCCAGAAGCCCTTCCTTTTCCCAAATGCTTAAGGTACATCACCATTTCCTTTATTTCCTTGAATGCATTGATTTATTCCTTTCCAAAGTCTTACAATAGTGATACAACACCTTCCTTATATGAGCAGGATTAGTTTTCGTAGTATTCAGGTGCAGTTTTCAGTTTCTGGTCAGTTTCCAGCTGCATTCTTTTTTTATACCCTAAACTTCAAAAATGTTTATGCAACATAGACACAAAAACTTTCTTTTTGTTCTCTCCATGGCTTATACATGTATGCTAGCGGGATCACTATGCAAGTTTGGCCTTTTTTTGGAAGAAATCTGTATTCCCTAATTTTGGAAACTACAGGGCCAAAATATGTGATATGGGAAGTGCCATGAGATTTTGAAGTTTATTGGTCACTTGTCCATGTTTAGTGGAGAAAACCTGCCAAAATTTCAGTCAGCTGGAGAATGACATTCGAAGCATAAAAAGTTGTTTCCAAGAAGAAATGATATTTGGCTATATAACATTTAAATTGATCCAGTCTGGTTTAATCTTTGAAATGCTATATGGAAAGAGAATGCTATATGAAACCGTATTTACTATGCTGGTTATGAACATATAGAGGGATCATCCCTTGAATTGGGAGAAGGTTCTTGCCTTTGACATTCAACTTGTAATCACTGACATCAGGTGGCTGATGTATTCACAAAAGATTATCCATATGTTGGCATCACACTCATTTCTAGGCTTTTAATGCACGATGGTGTACCTCATCAATGGAGGATAAAAAACCACTGCCATGTTCTATCATGTCCTGTCATACTTATCATTTGCTCAACTTTTCATGAGCTAGAAGCTTCTTATTGTATACTGCATCTGATATACTATTTTCGGTTATGAAAAATTAATGTATCCTTGTATAATGATCCAGGCTTCTTATTGTATACTGAACTCTTTAAAGTCCAATGCTAATCTTTATTTTTCTTTATTGGGGAGGTTTAGGATCATCTTTATTCTCCCACTGACATCATTCTGATGTACAGTTCATCAACAAAGTTGCTGGATATTCACTGGATTCTATTATACCTGGATCATTCCGCTATTATATTTTGAGAGAAATACTCATCTTTAGTTCTTATGTGGATTGGGCTGCTCATCAATTAAAAGGAATAATAATAGCTACTCGAGCATACCATCATGAGGTGTGTGTCCTTTCCCTCAATTTCTTACTACAAAAATTTGGAATATTTGTTACCAGCATCACCATGTCAGGTGTGTGTGTGTGTGTTTACAGGCATGAGAGAGCACTTAATCCCCCGCCCTCAAATTAGGGAAAAAAATAGAATTCTTTTAAATTGGTCCCCCACTCTCTATATGTCATTTAGAATCTTTTGGAACTAAAATGCAAACCTGTGATAACTAGAAGGCAGGTGCTCAATAATTTTATCATTGCATTCATTATTTTGCTCTTAAAATAAGGCAATTTTGTGTCATTTTTCTGCCTCAATGATTTCCGTTTTTTTTCTTCTTTTTTTGGGTCAGTACTTTCTTTTAATCTATTATTGATCACAGATATTTGATAAATTCCAGTTTGGGAAAATGTCTTCCTATCATATTTTTATGAATTTTTATTTCTGCAGCTGCAACTTTACGTAAAAAAAGTAATGGAGAAGAATCAGCTCACAAAAAAGATTGCTAGCAATGACGAGGTTGTTTTCTTCTTGGTACGTATTTTCTCATGCTACAATCTCATTCTCTTAACCTTTACACAATCTCGACAAGCTTATGCTTCTCTAAAAGCATACTCTTAAAAGTTTTATGCTTCTTGGTACGTATTTTCTCATGTTTTCTTGTTTGCTTCTCTAAAAGTTTATGCTATCACTACCGAATGTGGCATCTGACTGGAGTGTGTATTTCAGGCTTCTATGTTGATAGTCGTCCCTATAATGGGTGCTTGGATGCTATACTCGTCCACTTTCGAGTAAGACGTCCTGTTAGAGATAGTGCTTCATCCAAAATCAGGGAAATCTCTTTTTAGGGCTGGTTGAATGTGATTTCAAATTCGCAATCATGTCATTTATATTTAATTGCACATTCGAGTTATGCCCTTTATACTCATATGCTTTTATATGTATATTATAAAATGGAAGGGTCCAAATTTTTTAGTGTCATATGGAGAAAGAATAACATTCTCAACTCTCTGTTGTTGACATTGGACGGTGGAAAGGCTGCTAATATACTGTTTGAAAAGAAACATCTACTATATAGTGTATAATCTCTCTTATAAATGATTCCTGCGTGCTGAACAGACCACTAATCATGACAAAAAATACTTTTTCTTAACAAGTAGTCGTTGAACATTTCAGTCAACAGCATTATAAAAGAACATTTTTGCCTTCGTTCTTGATTAAACACTCTTTTTAAACAAAACTCGCCTTAGCAATTTCAGTTCATTCAAATGCATACGGTTAGAACAGCATGGTGGCCTATCATCATCATCATATTTATTGTGGTAGTGTGATAATTTGAAGAAATAAATTTATTGTGAGAGCAGTGGAAACAAGTGCAATTGTCGCATGGTGCCCCAAATTCCCAACCTTAAATTGAATTTTAAAATAGAAATGGATGTTCGTATTTTATGTGATTTTTCTTCACTTCAACGAGAGAAATGCCAAGTGCTATTTGTTCCGAACGTGTTCATGTAGGTATCAAAGACCAAACTTGATCAATCTCATATTTGCAGTAATAATTCATGCTGCATGCAGGAGAGGTATTTAATAATTGGGAAGGTACTGTAAGACCACTCATTTTAAATACAAGGAGGAGGTCATATTCACACTTATCCATTGGATATGAAATCCCACTTGTCTATTGGATATGAAAGCCTACTCAAGCTACCATCTGCAGCTACCCTATTTTAATGATTATGACTTTATACTAAAAGTCAATGGTTATACATTTCCCAGACAATAATGCATAAATTTGTTTTCTTTTTTGTTTTTTTATTATCCTATGAATAACATAAAGTCGAATAGGAGTCTACTTTTTACCGCCGCCACTGTATTAAGGTATGTTCTCGATAAGTGCAGTGATGGAAGTGCATGATGGTGGGAATGAGTCCATCAAATGTGCAAGTTTCTGTCAGGCTTTGAATGTGGAATGACAGATCCCAGCCGTTCCTTATTGACATCTGAGAGCTGAGATGAAGGAATAAAGCTGAATAATATAGAAGTGCACTAATTGTATACAAAGTCTTTTATAAACACACCCATTGTACATTTCAAACTCTTTTAGAGTATGAACGGATGGGAATTATTATGAAGAGCATAAGATGCCAACATCTATAGTCCCACTCATTTTTAACCATCGAATGTAAATCAATGGCTAGAAATGCATCATTATTATGTATACTGTCAATAAAAATTTTCTCAAACTTTGTGACTCATTCTCAGGTCCAAATTTCAAATTCAACTCCTAAAAATAATTGTGACCTTTTTTACCCAAAATAAAGTGTCTTAGTATACATTCCCAAATTGTCTGCTAGGGATAAATATAGATTCACAACATTAGTTTCAGCTGAGTCGTCTACATTTTCTACATCTACCACTATACTCTGTCTCTATGCATAGGTTTTACCACATAAGATGTGCAGGCTCTATGCCTAGAAATGTACCGTATGAATTGGACCCATAAATCTGAAAAATTCAAATTCTGAACTACTGAATACTTCAAAAGCAAATTTGACCAAAAAGAAGGCAGAGCACTTTGGTCATCAAAAGGTAAGTTCAGGGAAATTACAGTTTCAAGCAGTAGGCATCTGCGGTGATCTGCTCAGTGTTTTTACAAGAACCGGAAACAAAATTGTAACCAAGGACTTAAGAAATCAAATAAGTGACAATAGCAAAAGAAAACGCCTCAAATGACAACTCTAAATCCAACACGTTCTCGTGCATGATATGCATGAATTTGTGAATGTCTCATACCAAGAAATGATTAATTAATTAGGTGGGCAGAAGACATCATAAAATTAGTGGGCAGTGGCAAAAGAATGCCTACAAAATCGCGCACATGGATTGAAATCTATTAAGAATGTTGACTATATGGAAACCTTTCTTTAACAATGGCATACAAAGATGCTCAGTAACTCCTGCCCCACAGCGTCCACTTCTTTGCTGGCTTTCCTGTTGCAAAGCACAAGGTCCCTACATGCGCATGAAGAACGGCAATGTCAGTTGGGTTGCGTATATAGAGACCATCATTCTATCAAATTCTATCAAATACTCCATTGCCTAAGAAAGCACTATCCCGATGTGAAATCTAAATTTTCAGAACTTGCAATTCAAGTATTTAACAAAATGGGAAGCCCAAACAAAGGGATTGCTCCTCGAGACAATGGCAATACTAGAGATGAATACGATCTAAAAGGACAGGCTACACCCGTGCACAGAAAATTTTTAATTCTTAATGTCAAAAACTCAAACATAACCAAAACATAACTCCAATTTTCTTTTGATTTCTTTTTCTAAACAGCAGGCTATAATTTTAGAGATTTAAAATTACAAGGAACATCAGGAAAGTAGGGACTTTTGTTTTTTCATTTACCGGATATTAGTCTTCCAAGTAGTTGCTCTCCAAATTAAAGGAAATTTGTAATGGACTATAAATTCAGTGCTTTGGAATTAAAAGGAACATCAAGAGTGTGGCACTTCGGTTGCTTACAAGATATTAGTTTTTTAAAATTCTTGCTCTAAATTTAGAAGAACCTGCTTGAGATAACGCCTCAACATAATAGAAACTATAGAACATCGGTATTTCAAAGAACAATATTTTGAAAGCAATATTTAAAAAAGAAAAAGGAACTCTTGTTTAAGGGCACAAATAGAAAGTTCCCCTCCGACCAATTATGATGAGCACAATGGGATGAGTGCAACGTCAACAAAATCACCATCTCCTGTCGACTCTCCCTTAAATCATCCAATGAATAACAAAAACTGAGAATACTCAGCACCGGTGGAAACAAACCTTCAGGGACAGGTTCTTGGTCAAATGGGGAACAAAGGGTCTTCGCTGCTCCAGTTTCACCTTTAGTTCTTGCTTTCACCTCCTTCTCAACTTCCTGGCAGTAACATATGCATTATGACATCGAAACATGAAAGAGTAACACATGATGAAGATATAAATGCAATATGAGTCCTAAGGAATCAAACAATAACTGAATAATTCATCAAGATTACTCTATTGCACAGAGATATCGTAGATCGATTTATCAGAAATCTTCTCATGAAACAAAGCCAGATTTGCCCAACTTAAATATCGAAGCACTTGTCAAGTTCCAGTATGCCAATTATAATCTACCCTACACGTCAAGGACTTCCAACTATCAAAAAAGAAAAAAGAAAGGTACTTCCAAACCTGAGGGGTAACAGTAAAACTGCTCACTGGTTAGTATTGCAATTCCCTTTTCTTGAATGATGAAAAATCTCTTTCCTCTTACAAAAATAAAAATTATCATATATCGATGGGTTCACTTACAATGTCCAGAAGGTTAGCTAGCTGATTTCCTACTACTTCAAATCAAATATGAGGTTAGAGTACAAAATTATTTTGCTAAATAAATATTTCAAAATGAATATTAATACCCATCTAAACTGCTCAAGTAACGTTACAAAAGCTCCGTTCGTGTGACCCCCAGCATATCATAAAAAATAAACAAAAAACTTCATCACCACTGACTGCAAGCAACAAGCAATTATAAGATACAACCTGCCTTCAAACGCCAATGAAATGGCATAGATTGTCGGATTTGGATAATTGCCTAATTAACACCTCACAAGATGGAGGTGTAGAATCATGCATGACTAAAATGTCTAGTGTCACAATCCTACAAAGATAGTGACTTCTGCAGCAATATATAAGAAATTTTGATATTCTAGTTCACCAATGCTGTCCTTCCCTTGCAATAAAATATACAGTGTTCTCTAAGCTATGGGTCCAGCATATCGTATAAAAAAAAAAAAAACTTCCTCACCACTCACTACCAAGCAATTATAAGAAACAACCCGCCTTCAAACGCCAATGAAATGGCATAGATTGTCAGATTTGGATAAATTACCTAATTAACACCTCACAAGATGGAGGTGTAGAATCATGCATGACTAAAATGTCTAGTGTCACAAACTTACAAAGATAGTGACTTCTGCAGCAATATATAAGAAATTCTAATATACTATAATATACAGTGTTCTCTAAGCTATGTGTAGATTGAGGTCCTTAATTATCATTCCAGAATTTAAATCTTTGAATCCAGCTAGCAATTTGTTCACACCAGAAAAACAGACAACAGAACATAAGAAGACAAAAAAGTGACTCAAATATTAAAAAGAATGAACAAATGGATAGACATGCTTTCTGTAAATAGAGTGAAAATGTTCCTAAATGGGTGAGATGTACAATCAAATAGAACAAAACTATGGTCAATAAGAAGATTGAATCATGTGCACAATAAATTGTCTCCCTTACAGATCCATATGGGATTATACCTCCTCATCGCACCATGGCACCAAGACCATTTTCTTGTTATTAATGGCAGCCGCAAAGTCCTCAAAGGTCTTTGCCTTAACAATGCAAGCATCTCTTTTCTCCTTCGCAGTTTTAAACATGCTTTCTTGAATGCTTTCCAAAACCTCCCTTACAGATTCAACTAAATTATCTGAAGGAATGTCCTTTTTCACAGAATTATCACGACGGACAATACGAACCTGCAAATTAAGCTTTCAGTCTAAGAGCACAAATAAGGGAACTGATCATTAAACGAATAATAACCAGAAGAATGACAACAAATGGTGATAATAAGAACTGTGCATGTAGCAATTACCATCAACAAAGTAAAATTGAACATGAAGACCCACGCATAAATGCACATGTGCTCACATGCGAGAACGCGCACACAAAAGCTGACAGGTCCATTACATAAACTTCTACTTGACAAAATTATCCTAGTTTTTCATTTTTATTCACAAAATGTTTTTTGCTTTTTTATCGCTTTAAACTAATTTATATTTATACCATGATAAAGCATCTGACTTTTCAACATTTCTTAGAAAATGTACTAATTATAACATCTAATATATGAAGAAATTATAATTTTGAATTTATGAATACTTTTTATTTCAAAACTAATTGATGCCAATTTAGAAAGAGATCTAGAATTTTTAGGAAAGCCTCGTCACGGAGTCCTACAATAACCTATTTTTCATATTTTTTAATAGTGATTTTTTCTTGTCATTTTATTTTCTAACTAATTTATGCCATAATAAAGCAATTGGAATTTTCAACTACGTATAACAAGAGATTTTCATATAATAAATTATAGATATATAAATAGTCTTTTATTTTTACAATAATTAATGCCAAATTAAAATAAGAGATTTGAAATTTTAGGAAATCGATGAGATTGGAAAGAATCTAGGAATTGATTAGAGAGAGAGATAGAGATGGATTTATTAAATGTGCCTCCAGATGACCGAGAATAGAAAATGGGAAGAGATATGATCTAGGAATTCTAAATTTACTCATCCTAGCAAGATTTTAGGAAAACTAGAGGAAAGGGAAGCCATGAAGAGAAATTCAATATTCACACACGCACAAGTGAGAGCGCAGGCACGCATGCACACACAAACACATATCAAAACTTCACATGACCATATTTCAGTGTTTGGGCTAAAGCCAATATACTAAATTGCGCAAGAAGAATTTATCCATATACCATCTATTAACATGATTTAATAATTGAATGAACTGCTAACAGAATTCCACTGTGCATTTACATGATATCAAGAGAATCTACATGGTGAAAATGCTTACAAACCGAAGTATGGCATGCATATGTACATGTGATGTGTATGTGATACAATGCAATGGTGAGGGATCCACTGTCAGTTCCCAAATGGGTAGTGGACGTGAATCATGGTCTGGATACCAACAGTTATAATATTATGATGCAGTGACTCATTTCTAGAAGTCCAGCTTTGACTTTTAAGAACCAGCTAGTCACATCAACCATGCCTTTGAGCAGATCTCATACCCCAAGAACTTAGCTAAACTGAATCAAAGAAATAGTTGGGTAAAAAAAAAGGGGGAGCACAGAATTTTAAACAACTCCTACATACTCTTGAATCCATTCTAAATTCTAAATGTGGATATCACCTGTTGATGTAAGTTCAGTTTGTTGCACCATGTGTCTAAGACAATCGCTCTAACAGCATGCTTAGAATTATTCGATTGAAAAGCTATATTCACTTCATTTACATTGAAAACGATCAATCCTCCCAAGTCAAACTTTACAATAATCCCTCAAAAGTTCCGAAAATGAACCATACCACCAAATTAAAAATAGATCTCAGGAGGCCACTCCTGTTACCACAAAAAAAGGGCATCTCATTTTATGAGGTTACTAATAATTGAACACACCAAAATTAATTCCTAAGATCTCTTAGCATGTCAAGCACGAAAAGCAATGTGCATGTATATGGAAAGACGTGAGCACATACTTTCATTAAGATTATAATTTCTTTATTGAAAAGCGAACAGACGGTTCACAACCAGAACTTTGTACACTAAAATAAGCAGCTCCAACCATTACAGCTACAGAGATCACCTCAAATGCAGTAGATCAAAGTAAACCCAATGACAAAATAATCATGAATATGCATATTCATGTTGCAATTTATGTTACCAACCTGCTTTTTAGCTATGTCTTTTGGACCAATTTCAATACGCAGTGGAACACCTTTTAATTCCCAATCCGAGTACTTCCAACCTGGCGAATAGTTGTCTCTTGTGTCTGCCTCCGCCCGGAAACCAGCTGAATTCAAATTATTTACAGTTTCAGAACATGCATCCATGATGGCTTGTGTGTCAGCATCCTTGTACGGAACAGGGATTACAATGATCTGCACTGGCGCTACACGAGGCGGTAAAACTAAGCCTTTGTCATCACCATGAGTCATTACCATAACTCCAATCTGGTATGCCAAAAATAAAACTAAAAATATTATTGAGACACCTTATATTTGATATAATTAAGAATAGAAAGAAGAATACCATAAGTTTCTGAAATTTTTCAAAATATAATATTCATTAATTAATAAGAAATGCCAAAACCTTTGAGCATCAAAGACAGACCAAATAAAATAAACCATGAAATGACTAAGAACATTGGCAAACTTTTGCAAAATAGATATTCACTACCTCTATTCAAAGAATTTAAAGGTGCCAACGGAATAGTACAGTAATAAACCACAAAGTAGAGAAACAATATTGTTTACGAGCATTAATTATCACAAAGGACATTAGTCAGTTTCAGTGCACAGAGAACTAAAATCATCATCCACAAGCCAGCTGAACTGAATTTCAATATAACTAAAGCTAATCCAAAATGCATGTCATATCGTGTGATGTACAAATCCAAGTCCAAACCAAGCAAATCAAGCAACCCTGTGGCTTAAACATAACTTAGACAAAACGAGGGACTTAACTATCCTGCGTTCCAACTCAAAAATAATTATATGCATCATGTGAAACCCCCAAGGCAAATAATTGAGAAATTTTCAAATACTGAACAGAGGAAAACACTCCACACCAAGGGAGACTAAAAGCGAATCAGGGGGGAGTGAATAAGAATCTTTGCAGACCTTCAAAGGACCTTTCCCTTCCAAACTAGTAGCTTCATCCTTAAAGCACAATATATAACCCCAAAGAGCTTTCCTAGGAAGCATAACACAACACAAACCAATGTGGGCAATGAGCCAATCCTGAACCCAATCAGCTCCAAATAAGAAGCAAGAATCCTGAAACCTGCATGGGCCTTGAAGATTTTAAGCTCATTTGCCAGAAAATTCAGCATGAGACACAAACACTACCAAGAGACCCAAGTTCTGTGCCAGGAAAAAATTCCAAGGAAGTTATGACTCCAGTTATCTAGTGTTTCTACAGGAAACTCTAATGCCTTTCCAGAGTATTACCATAAATTTTGACCCTTCAACCTTATCTAATCCCTCATGTCCCCAACATACGCTACAGGAGTTATCATTCCAAGATATAATAAGGGACAAGTTGTTATCCAGAAATTATTTCAGAGGCAACCTGATCATTTTCTCAGTGAATACAGTACTCTCATATAAGTGTCATCCTTCTCAGAGCACAAGCCTAACCCTCTCAAAATCTTACAAAAAGCTGCCGCTATAGCACAAGCACTCACCATAAACAAATCAATTCAGTAAGCAATTTACTCAAACATCAAACTGTATAATGACTATCACACGTTCATAGTTTTTAATAAAGGCAATTTAATGTTTTATGTTCATAATGCATGCTCCATGAAACTTAGTATATATACATTTGTTCTTTTTTTGAGGGTAAATGTAATAAAACCATAGAAGAAAGAAATCTACAGTGCTAAAGTTTAACTACTGTTAACAATCATGGTACTCCTTATGCTTGTTAGGTTGGAGAAGCCAACCTCATGTGAAGCAAGCTTTCACAACCTCAGGTACTCCACTCAATTCCTTTCATTTGCATGCAAATCTAGAGGCTAAGAGGCCATTGTACACGCCTCTTCAATCGTCAACCACTGAATATGATTCACTTTTTGAATCTTTATTTTTCCACAATATAATTACAAGAAAATGGTACCACTTGCAAAATGCCGCAAATGCATGCAATAGATAATGACAAACATTATAATAGATTGTTCATAAAAAAAAATTAAAAAATAAAAAAGCCAAAATGAGACATCAGATCAATCCAAGCTATTAAAAAGGATACAACAACTATCTCCTCAAAATAGAATAAATGAAAATGGTAGAGACTTACAACACGAGTACTGTATGCCCAAGAGTTCTGCCAAACCATAGCCCTCTCACCCTTTTCGTTCTCAAAATTTATTTCGAACATCTTTGCAAAATTTTGACCCAAACAGTGTGAAGTAGCACCTTGTATACCACGACCAGTATTTGGTATGAAAGCCTATCAAACAATACAGAGTGTCCACATATGTCACTGACCAAGAAGATGAAATCAAAAGTATAAGGACAAAGAGAAACGTACCTCCACACTAGTTGTATAAAGTCCGCCGGCGAACTTCTCAAGTTCACTTTTCTTTCCCTTAATAACAGGAATTGCTAAATATTCTTCATATATCCTCCGATACAATTCTAGAATTTCTAGAACCTGATCATAATACACCTATATAAGAAACACATGGCAGGAAATGCATATCTCTGCGTGTGTGTATATGTGTGTGTGACCACAATAAAGGGTACAATCAATTTCCAATTTTGAATTGTCATCATCCGAAAGAACAACTAAGAACAAACCAAGTTGACAACGCATTAAAAGCCATGCAGATCCTCTTTTGGGGATTTTTTTTGGGTTAGTAAGACACACTAGTAGGAAGAAAAGGCACACGAACACAATCTTTTCGGAAGTTGCAACAACAAATAGCAAACCATACTCAATACAGAAACAGTTCCAAATATTACATGACATATGCGAAACAATTGATAATTGAAAAACTTCCAATTAAGATGTTATATACCTCGCTATCAGCTTCTTCTTTTGTTGCAAAAGCTGTGTGTCCTTCTTGCCAAAGAAACTCACGACTCCTACAAATTGCGAAATAAATATAGAGTAAATTAATAAATAATAAATATATCTCAACAACGATAAGCAACATAATAGTTTTAGCACTGTGTGGCATGTTCAAAAGCAGTGCATTAACTCCAGTTTTTTGTACTGTCGTGTGAGAGATGTTCCAAAGGTTGCAATCCCTCCCTTATAACCAGTCGAAACATCAAAGAGTACTTGTTAAGTGCAAAAATTGCAGTAATGCTGAGATAGCTGAAAAGTATCTAAATTCAAAAACTCAACATAATCACGAATGGAATGAACAGAAGCAACTCGGGCTTGTATCTTTTGCAATAACATACCATCATAGTTATCAAATGTGGCCAAATCAAAGAGAATACGCCCTTCAGTTCATCGCACATACCCGCATATGTGGGCTATCATTATGCGCCTGCATATATGGTACATTACTGTATATGCACGCACATCACTCTAATATCATGCGCCCACATATGCCACACATCACTACATATGCAGGACATTACTCATCATTATGCACCAAAATATGCAGGAGCCTGGTGGGTGGAAAAACTGCCCACAAGCAAGGGCATTTCATCATTCCTCCTCTAAAAGACTCCCTTAGACCATTATTTCATGGTTCTAAGAAGATTAAAGTGAAAAAATTAGGAATCAAAAATTTTTCAAATTTGATAGCTTCAATAAAATTTGGGGATTCAGGTGAATATATTAGAGACAAGTACTAAATTAAACTTTGTCACTTGGCACAACACATGTTATTTTGTGTTCTATTTAATTTAACAAATAAGATGGATTAATTTACTTTACATGTTAACTAGATACTAAAAAAAATGCCCACTATTACATAAATCACATATTCACCTTATTCGTTGCATTCTAATATTTATAATTTCAAGAAATTTGAATTTACTGTCACATATTCACATTATTCTTTGCATTCTAATATTTATAATTTCAAGAAATATTAATTTATTGATCACATTGAGGTGCACAGATCGGAACCCCCCTAGTGCACTGAGTCTGCATCTCGCATTTGAAACCTTGCATGCTCAAGGCATCAATTGCCAATAAAGAGGTTTAGTTATCCAGGACATTATAAGGAAATAACTGCTACAAATCGAGAATTAATGCTGTCCTAGCACCTAACAGAATAAGCATTCTCAAGACATCCATCGCCAATAATAAGATTTAATCGTCCAAAACATTATGAGGAAATATATGCAAGGAATTTTTTAAATGGACAATATATGCAAGGAATGACCTTATAAAAGGAGTGGGGTTGCTGAATTCCCATCGAACAACATTGCACCATTGATTAAGTCTAAGAGGAAGTTCACGGTGCCCCCTAATCCACTTGGCAAAGTAAGGATACATGACAGTCTCGCTTGTGGGACGAATAGCAATGGGCATTTCCAGATCAGATTGTCCAGATTTTGTAACCCATGCGACCTGAACAATATATTGAAGAAAACAAACAATGTAAAAAACTATCAACCATAGAACATGAACAGCAGTAAAAGATGTCTCAAGAAAGGTGAAAAACAGAAAAACCCATATGATAATCAATATGTTCATTGATGCTCACCATGATTTGCCAAATTATCAGACCAAAAAATGTACATGCAATTCAATTATGTCCCCTATATTATTGCAAACCTCACCTCTGGGGCAAAACCTTCGATGTGATTTTTCTCTTTTTCTAGAACATTTGATGATACAAACAATGGAAAGTAGCAATTCTTCACCCCTGACTGCTTTAATTCTGCATCAAAAAATTCCTACAGAATATAGACTGTGAAATTAGGTTTCCTGGTTAAACAGAACGATGGAATAAACAAATATTTTAGCAGGGAGAATGACACATTGCATCTTCTTTTAGCCAATAAAGTCAAATATTGCTAATGTACTTGTATGACATTTAAATGAGTCATCACTGCTCACAGTAAAAAGGTATATTAACAGTTTCATTCATCATTTTGAGTTCTTCATTTCTAAGGAACTTTTTTTTTTTGGGATGAATGTCCTATGAAAATAAAGTAGTTAACTGATCTTAAAATTATCTGTCTCAGTGAGCACACTTGGGAGCAGCAATATGTTTGTATCACCATATCAAACAATCCACTAAAACTGTAACAGCTAATCTGTTAATTCTGTAGGAAACAAAATCTGAAGTAGTCTTATATTCCTCAAGGAAATGAGTTCAACAAAGGTAACAAAGACTTGCGCGCAATGAAAACTAAGGAATAAGATACTCTAGCAAACAAATATAAACCCCCTACTTACTCTTAGGGTGTCCCATATTGAATATGCCCATGGCCTTAGTATATAGCAACCAGAAACATCATAGTACTCTATCATTTCACTCTTAACAACCACCTGAAAGTTGAAGGAACCATTATTTCTTAAAGCAATAAAGTTCACAAGACATATATAAAGCTTGAAATACAAATTAAAAAGTAACAAAAGACATAGGATTAGAATTTAATCCTAACAAATCCTCCTCTTTGTGGACAAGTTTACAGCACACAAAGATACCTCAGCATACCACTCCCCAAAATTTTCATCCTTCTTATGAGAAAGGCCGAGGCCAGTCTCTTTCTTAACTTCCTTCATCTTTGCTGAATAACAGAAAAAATCAATGTAGGACTTCAGTACTCAAGTATCATTGTACAAGGTAGTACCATATATTATAATTAAAATATAAACCATTTGTTTTCTAATAACAAGTATTTCAAGAAATAAGTACCTCCTGGCTTTGGACCGCCCGTTTTATCTTTCTTAGCCACCGCTCCCCTGCTATTTTTTTCACCTGAAGGATCCTTACCACCAATTTTGAGGTTTTCCATGTCTCGAGTGGACATAAATGCAGTGAAAGATTTTGCAAAGGTAAGATCTACAATATTCTGTAACCACAAAGAATACATCAAAAATTGATCATCCTTCTTTCATATTGCAAATTCCTAAAAATAAAATTAAAGGATAATCCCACTTTTCCTTGAAATAGTAACAATCCAAATCCTTACACAATAGACTTTTATTGCAGAAAACCAAAACAAACAAGTATTCATTTAATTGAAGACAATCAACATAGAAGGAAGAAATAAGAAGATCCATCATGAACTGCCATTATATTTACAAGAAACATTATTATCTCATGGATCTATCAAAATCACACAATACTCTATCTAGGTTCCATATTGTAGCAAAAAAATTTCTCCATAATAGTAAAAAAACAATTTACCTTTGGTTTCCAAATATTTAGAAGCCCTGTGCAACTGCTAAAACATCTGCGCATTTCTTTCAATTGAACAAAAGAAAAGGAAAAACTAAAATCAATGAAAGTTTTCTACCACTGCAACTTCCTTGGATTTAATAAGCAAGAAACTGAATAATCTGATAATAAAAACTAAGCTAAAAAACACATATCCTCCATCTCCCACCAATCAAATAATATTTAGATTCTTCAAGTCCAATAAAATCAAGAAACAAAAGGAATTATTTAAAAATATTGAAGAAATAGGAATGCAATCACGATGTTTCTTCCTCTAAGGGTCCTTTTAAACAGATAACAGCTCAAATTTCAGAAAGTTACGAGCTTTTCTTCTGTAAACACAGCCTTCTTTAAGTTCTTGATAAATCGGATCTTCACTTTTCGATTTATTGGATCTTTCCCGTGAATGCAGCTCAATAAGGTGTATGAACAACACAAATCCAATAGCAACTGGTCCATTGACCAGGAAAGGAAAAAAACAAAAAACAAAAAAAAATCCAACCAGGTAAGGTAGAAGGGAAGAGAGAAGAACTAGCAAGTAGCAACATTACATTCCATGAAAACAACTAACATACATGCCATAGAAACAATTAGACATAGAATGTTCAGACATGTATTGAAGGGAGAGAAACTATGATACTTAGATAGTGAAAGAGACCTTAAATTCCATAGGAAACAGGTTTCGAAGTTCCATGAAACACATATGGAAGAGAGAGAAATTACCGGTATTAGAGAGAGAGAGAGAGAGAGAGAGATGGATCGAAACGGCCTTCTTGCTTAGGAGGCCCGGCTTCAAGATGCTACTGGTTGGGGTTTCCTCTGAGGTGCCAGGAAACAAAGTGAGGACTAGAGCAGTCAAACCCCACTAAACAATAAAATCTCTCTTTAGGGCCTGCCTCAAACGCCATTTTCTCTCTCTCTTCATAAATAAATAAATGACTCTCTCTCTCTCCACAAAATGATATCTCTCTCCCCCTCTCTTATCTTGCAAGGGGGGGCAACAAATGGGTTCACGCTTGTCCGGAAAACGGGGCGCCACACAGCTTGATGATCGTTCTCGGTTTGTACAGAGCCAAGGCTCTAAACGGTCAAAGTAGAGCGCACCTCTAAATAGTGAAGAGAAATGTGGTTTCAATGCTCAAAATTTTTGTAATAGTCTTAAAATATATATTTATATCTAATTATAAAATTTAAAGCTTTAAATATAAATAACATTAATATGTCTAAAATTTGAAATTCATTTTTTTCTAACATCCATGCATCTTGATGTCGAGATAATCAATTTACGAATATTTGGGCACCAAAATAATCTATGGTAGTGAAATTTTTGAGGCATGCTCTAATTTGTTTGTTTAGAAATGCTCTAATTTGATTGTTTAGAACCTTGGCTCTACATAAATGTTTTTCTTATTTTTAATTTCTTGTCTTTCATTTCACTTAAAATATAAATGAAGGATGCAATTTCTATAGGGTGCAGTTGGCATACGGATGCATCCGTAGGTGTAGAGGTAAGGTGCACCTTCAAAATTTATCATGTTATATAATTTTGATGTAAAATGTTCTTAGGATTATCTCAAAATCTATTTTTATATCTAATTATAAAATTTTATATTTCAAAAATGGCTAAAATCAAATAGATCTATAAATATATGAAAATCTTGAAAATGGACGGTGTAGATAATACGTCGTAATGTGCACTATTTCTGAGACTTAAAATCTTTGTATTTTTCATGGTCGTACATCTCGATGTCGAGATGATCAATCAAAGGGTTTTTGGGACCGGAGGGAGGAGTAGACAAGAAGTTGCAGAAGAAACCGAGCAAAAGAAGCACGGGGTCTGGTTAGTTGACTTACTCGGCGGATTCCCCTTCATCGGTCCACTTGAAACTAGAAGCGGCTTTCTTGCTCTAGGGGCATTGGTGACTTACCACCTCCTTCCTCATTCTCCTTCAAGGCTGCAAGGTATGTGGTCTCCCCCTTCTTGAGACCCTTGGTGACCACTTGCTCATGTTTCGCTCATCCTTACCCTAGTTTTTGTGGGATGGCATCCCTATTTGCTTTTCTAGTAGCTCGTATGGGCTCATCTCATCTTGGAGTTATAGATTCCATTCCTTATTTTTACTGCGGCCTGGCTGTGGTACGGAAAAGAATGGAAACAGAGGGAAAGAGCGGACAAGGAATGAGTAACATTTTTCGGATGGATTTTTGAAGTGCATCCGTAGTTCTACTTTATAAGGTTGCATCCTTATATAAACTGGTTTTATGAAACTAAAATAAACTTCTTACCACGATCCTCATTCGAAAGTATCAATCTATAATGGCAGTAAAATCAAATTTTAACACGGACTATAAAATTTAAAGCTCAAAAAATGGTACAGATCACGCAAATCTATAAAAACTTATTCTTACGATAAAATATACAATTTACATAATATGTTATACTATTTCTAGGGTTTGAATTTATTCTTTTTCACGGCCATAATGGTCAAGGCTGAGATGATCAATTTGAAGGTTTTCCGACATCAGAACTACAATTTTCGATAGATTTTGAGGTGAGTCTTTACTTGACTGGACAGGGCTGCAGCCCTATCAAAACATTTTTTATAGATAAATTATCTTGCAAAATTAGTAAAGCATCAATTTTTTTAAAGGGTGAGATTTGTATGAGGCCCAATCAAAAGTAAGATGCACCTTCGAATCATGCCAAAAATGTAGTCTCAACATCAGAAAGCTTTATCGTGACTGGAAAATCCATTTAAGTTCTAAAATATTGCAGATATAGGAGTTCTACAGATATATTAAAATTTTAAAAAGGAAAAAGTTTATATAAGGTTACAACTTTAAAATGTAGAATTACATATGTACCTCAAATATCAAACGGAAAGGTTATTTTACTGTTGAAAAAACCCTCTAATTGATCATCTTTATAAATCTGAAAAAGAAAATATTTGAGTCCCAAAAATAGTGCATCTTATAACACATTATCTAAACTGTCAATTTTCAAGATTTTCATATGTTTGTAGATCATTTTTTAAGTTTAAATTTTTCTAATTAGATATGAAAATAGATTTAAAGATAATCCTAATAATTATTTACAACAAAATTTCATGTTAGGATAAAAATTTGGAGGTGCGCCTTAATTGGATTGTTTATGGTTGCAACCTTATAGAAACCACACCTTTTAAAAAATAGATGGTCTAGATAATATGTTACAAAATGCACTATTTTCATTGCTTGAAACCCTTTTTTTTATATTTATAATCACTAGGTCGGGATAATCAGTTGAGGGATTTCTTAGCACTGAATCAACCTTTTGAGATGAATTTTGAGGTGTGCCTTGTTTCTATAGTTTAAAGCTCATACCTTACATAAACTTTTTCTTTTTTAATATTACTTTATAAAATTCATTCCATTCAAATACTTTTATAAAAAAAAAAAGCAATTAAGCTCATTCAAGATTGAGAATCTTATACAATTAGGGGCATCTTGGTAACATAGCACACTTGAGTAGCCCGAGGAAGAAAATACTTGGTTGTTCGAGGTTAACGAAAATGGAATAAGGATTTATAATGAAAAGTTTAGATTTCATGTCGAACTGTTTTTATAGTGCGGCCATTATGTTATTAACTCTGAACAATTATGGTTATTTTCATTATTTGGCTCAAGCTTGACGCTAAATAACTAAGATGCACTTGTTTAAAATCCTAAACAATCACAACTTTGTTATTTTTTACTATAATTTTTAAGAGGTACCATGATGAAATAACACTTCAAAAACATCACTTATTTAAATAGGATAATTTGACACAATTATTTTCAAAGTAATTTGGCCATTTAATTACATTTTCCAAAGATAAAACATAAATAGTTAGTACTTTATACTTCACTCTTTAAATTTGCTCTACTGTTTTTCTAGAATTAGCTAATATATCACAACGAAGAAGGTAATTTCATTATTTTTTTTAAGTCGAGTGGCCCGAGCAAAATGACAATTGTACACAAATTTTTTAGGTTAGGAACCAACAACTCGTTTGTTTTACTGGAAATCCTTTTTCGGAGTTCTTGGCAGCAAACAGGCATGGGTAATTACATCACCTTTATCATGCAAACTTAAGTGATGCCAAATTATCGAAATGCACTTGTTTGTTTCAAGGTTCCAACTCTAAAACAAGAGCAATTTAGGTATATTTTAGTTACTCAAGTTCGAACCTGGTTAGTCTATAAATTAGTCAAATTTGATATTAAAGTTTTGAACCGACCATTAAATAACGAATACACTTTGGTTCGGAACTTGGAGTCAGAAATTAGATGTACTTTTAAGAAAGAAAGAAATATATATATATATAACTGCTACAGTATCAGCCAAATGCCCATATTTAATCTGGGTTGATCTGATGGTAACAATCTCATTTCGTATTTGAATTTTACTTCTTTTTTTTTTTTTTCCAAATCCAAATCATTTGAAATTTTAGGTGTTCATTCTTTTCATCAAGGCGTATCTAATAAAAATATAAAAGAAATAATTCGTAAAATATAAATTGACTAAAATACCCCCACAACATTTTGGTGGTATTTTGGTCTATTTATATTTTATGAATTATTTTTCTTCTATTTTTATTGAATTATTCTATTTTTGAAAAATAGACACTCCAAATTGTAAGTGATTTGGATTTGTAAAAAAAAAATGAAAATTCAAACACAAAATAAGGTCATGACCGTCAAATCGGCCCAAATTCAATCTGGACCATTGGTTGATACTGTAGCTATTAGCCCGTGGGCTAACAGGATATTTTTCCATATATATATAAAAGGAAAAGTCTATATAAGGATGCAACCTTATAATGTAGAACTACGGCTGCACCTAAAAAATCCATCGAAAAAGGTAGTTTTAATGTTGAAAAACCCTTTGATTGATCATCGAGATGTCTGACCATGATAAATAAAAAGACTTTAAGTCTCAGAAATAGTACATTTTACAACATATTATCTACACCGTCCATTTCAAGATTTTCATATGTTTATAGATCTACTTGAATTTAT